ACCAGCGAGCTGGACACCATGAGGCATGATTTGGAGAGGACGCAGAAGGGGAGGGGTCCCGGGGTCCCCGTGCGTTCAGAAAAATGCTGGCGAGGATGAGCGGCAAGAACTTCGGCATCGAGGAGGCGAAGGAGGAGGAGCTTGAAGAGCGGCTCGAAGCCTGCAAGGCCTGGAACTCCAGTCCTGCAAGCCCCCACAAACGCAGTCCCTGCACCCAAAGCAGGTTGCGTCCCTCCCTGTGTGCTGCAGGAACTCCTGCTTCTCTGGCTGGCGGAGCATCCCAATCAGATGTATGTCCAAGGCCTGCACGGCCTGCCCGGGCCCCAAAGCCATATGGCCATGCGCCCTTGACATTGCACCTCAACATCACTCCACAAAGGCTAAACTGCTAAGCTGCCTTGAACGAGGATGGCGTTTTGCCAGTGGGAAAGCCGCAGCAAGGCGCGGGCCTATGCGCGCTTCCAGGAGTTCACAGAGAAGATCCCGGCAAGCTGCTCGTCTGCCCACAGCGGCTGTCGCGTGCCCTGGTTGTAGCTGTTGTAGCTGTAGCGCGTGCAGCCCCTCTCATGCCCTGCAATGCCACGGGCCTCTGATATCTCTGACCCTGTTGCTGTCTGTTGCCACCCAGGTTTCGTGGCGCGAGGGGGTGACGGAGGCAGAGAGGAGCAGCAGGCTCTAATCGATGCCACGCACCTTGGCACATTGGCAGGAAGAGCTGTGCAAGATTCCCGTGTGCCGACACTGAGGTGGCGCCTCGTTCGGGCGAAGAACCCGACCTTCGCAGACCTCTGCGACGAATGCCTGGAGATCCAGGCAATAGTTGGAGGCAGTGCGGGTCACCTCGCACTTGGTGTTCGGCTGAAAGAGTCACACAGCCTGCGTGCGTGATGTTTGCAGGAACCATGCTTGGATGGCATGTGCCGCGCGGACGCAGCAGTGAGTAGTCCCCTGATTTCTTCTTCTTCTTCTTCATCTTCTTCTGCTTTTGCAGTTTTGCAGCCCTGTCTAGTGTTTTTGAAACAGTGTAGAGCTTGGGTGATTGAGGGAGCTCAGAACACTTGCTCTCCCCGACCCTGGGACGGATTGGCCATCAGTGTGACCGTGCCAAGCTTTGAGGTCGCTCTTCTCCTTGGCCTTCGGGTTGGAGGCCGTGGGAGAGTTGGCGGAGCACGTGCTCCGTGGAGATGAGCCGGAGCTCTTCCCGCAGCTCATCGCGCCGCGGACTGTTGAGGTTTAGGTTGGAGTTTTTGTGATCGCTGGGTCATCTGTAGCCATCTGTAGCCGAGGCATCCTTGCTTGTCAGCCTGGAGCCGCAGCTGTCCCCGCTGCCGTCATATGATTGGCCAGACAAGTTCGAGAAGCGCACCAAGGAGGTGAAGACCGATTGGGATGTTCGCCTGCTAATCATCCCAGAGCTGAAAGAGAAGCTGGCGCCCTTGGCAGAGGTGCCAGGCGTGGCCCTGCCCCCGATTTTGGAGGTGAAGAAGGTGAAGAAGGCCAGGGCGCCGAGGCGCCCTTTGTGGCTCCACATTCTGGTGAGCATGCTCTGCATGTTCTGGCTCCTGGGAGTCTTGGGGACCCAAAGAGGCCCCGTGGACATGGATCCTGGCAGCGCCTCCATGGCACAGCTCTCTGTGCCGAAAAAGTTTAAGTCTGTTCAACTTCAACTCCGGGGTGAGACACGCCGGGGAGTCGGGAGCCCGGCTGGTGACAGGGTCCACTATACGTCCCGCTGCATGGTGTCCTTCCCGCTCCGGTTGTTAGACCGAGGCGGAGGCAACAGATGATGGAGCTTCCGATCCAGACACGTCAATGCTTGGAGCATTGTGGACCTGGGGGTCACCTGGCTGACATGTCTCAGAATGTAGGGAACGCGAAGTCGGGTATTCCACAGCATTCTAGGAGGTGCTGTGGAATTTGCGCTGCGCCCAGACATCTTTCCCCAAATTCTCAAGCTGCCAGGCTTCTGCGCGCAAGGGCTCTACATGGCGTGTGTGGCAGAGTGTGTCCCTGCATCAGGTGAGGCTGCCGAGAGTGAGGCGGTCAAGATGGACAGAAGATGTACATATCATTTTTGCATGACCTGCGATCTTCCATCGAATTCGTGTTCATACTTGCACGCTTGGCTTGCTCTGTGGAGGTACAGGCAATGCGCAGCCTCCGCCAACTGAAAGACAGATAATTTAACTTGCCCCGTTCCATGTGCCCGGTGCCGCAACTGACCTGCGCGGGTGGCATCCATCTTGTGTTTCAAAAGAGCATTTATCAAGTTAAAATAGCCTTTGCAACACGCGATCGCCGTCTGCAAGAAAAGTGGTTGGTGCGTGTGCTTAGCCCGTTGTTGCTGTGGAGGCCACGCATAGCCTAACGGAACACGGAACCAGAGCTGTAAACTCCAGATCAGCATCTTTGCTCAGTGGCCTTGCTTGTTGGCTGTCAATGTCTTGTGAGGTGGGGCTCGTTCATAGACGTGATGCACTTCATCAACCTGTCGTGTGGGTCAGAGACTAAGTCATCGGCCAATGGCCGGGATGCCAGTGAATGGGGGCGTGCCGCATGTGCCGCATAAAAGTCTTGGGATACTTTTTGTAACTTGTTGCAAAGACTGGTTGCAGTAGCAGTGTCAGCATCCAGTTCCGATTTCTGTGATGTGTTAGAGGAGGCTTCGGTCTTCCAATGTCATCTCCAGAAGTGTGTAGGGCGCAGGAGGGTCCTGGAGGGGAGGGGTACTCTGTATCCAGGTGTCAGATTTCACATTTAGCCTGCCGCGTGATCAAGGTCGAGCCATATCGCACAATGCAAGCACATACAGGTGCGCAACTTCTTTCAGCGCATGTTTTGCGGTCGAGACTGCTTTAGGCAAATTTAGGCACCTTTACAAAGACCCTAGCAGCTGCACGTGTGGGGATGGACGCGTTCAACTGCCGCACGAACATTACATCTCACGCGCGAACAGAAACCCGTGCGCATTCCTTGGCTGAGGATTCAGCCTTCACGTCTCAACTCTGCTAGAGCCAGCAGAGCGAAAGGTTTCTTCTCGTTTTTATGAATTACCGTAGGAAAGGCTTTTCCCAAGTTTTCAGGATCTTTCTCAGCTTACTCGTCAACTGCAGTACATGTCAGACTTTTGTGGGGTTGACTTCGCAGTGTGTGTGGGTAGCAGCATGCTTGGACGAGCTTACAAATGCATTGAAAGCAAGTGTGCAGACAAATCGCAGGCCTTCTCTGAGATAATTGTGGCCCCAAGCCGGAAACAGCTGCATCTTCAACTTTGCGCAGTAAGTGTTGAGGCCAGAACAGCACATGATCTGCGTAGGAGCGTGGAGCCTGTGCTAGGACAGTAGTAGTCGCAGCATGATGCACGTCGTTCAGCCTGGCCGCACAACTTCTTTCAACACCAGCGCTGTATCTTTCAACAAGCCACCACTCAACATCAGGACCTTGGTTGATCTTTTCATGAATGTCTGGTGAGGTGGGCCTTTCTTCACGCCGCAGTACATGGCATCCTGCAGTGTGAGTCAGGACTGAGTGAGCTGTTAGGAAGCGGGTGTGTGCTGCATACACGGCTTGGGAGGTATTCTGTAACTTGCAGGTGCTGTGAAGGTGCAGTGTCAGCATTTTGGGGTTGTTCTAACGGTCCTTGTGAAAAAGAGGACTATTGAGAATACACTTCGTTCCTAACCTGCCGCGGACTATTTGTCTTCGCAGATGGATCGTGATCAAGCAACATCGATGGTTTCCGCAGATCGAACCGGGACGCGGCTATTTGGCTGATGAATCGTAGTGACTTCAGGGCGATTTGTACATGTCCACAGGCTTGCACCAAAGGACCCGTTGACAGACATCCCAGTTGGCGTGATGCGGTGAGTGTGGAGTGACGAGCTTAGGGCTTCATGAGAGTGGAGTTCTTGTGTGGATTGTGGCTTGGACATATGACGCAAGTTCCTGACGAATCCATGCTGGGTGCCATGACATCCACCCCGCACCTTTCATGGGTCTCGCTTGGGAAGTACAGTAGATGGTATCAATTCTTTGTGGGGCAGGGCTGCCAAGCCCTGAGGAGACCAGCATCGGCTGCGCGATGCGCTTCATCTGCTGAGGCGTGCCATGCAGCTATAGCTGTTGCGTCTTGGAGGCGGGCCAGTCACACGCCGAAGTCATGCTGATTGGCGCCAGACCTCCGCCAAGACTTTTTGGATGCCTGCCTGCAGCTTCTGGCCCGAGCGAATCCGAGCCAGCGAGTTGGTCACCATGAAGTACGATTTGGAGAGGACGCGAAAGGGGAGGCGGGACCCCTCCCCTTTCGCGTGCTCTCCAAGTCGTGCTTCATGGTGTCCAACTCGCTGGTCTACACCTCAGGCTTCCCTACGTTGATCCACCACTGCTAAGGGTGCCAGCTTCTTCTTGAGCCCCGGGATGATCAGCAGGCAAACATCCCAAGCCGTCTTGACGTCCTTGATGCGCTCCTCGAATTTGTCCGCCCAATCGCATCATTGCATGCAGACCCATACAGACATATTGCATGACTCATGATCTTCCATCGAATTCGTCTTCATACTTGCATGGCTTGCTCTGCGGAGGTACAGGCAATGGGCAGCCTCCAGCAATTGAAGGACAGTTAAGTAGACTTGCCCAGTTCCATGTGCCGACTGCAGCATCTGACCTGCACGGGTGGCATCCACATTGTGTTTCAAAAGAACGCTTTTCCAGTTAAGACAGCCTGTGCAACACGCGTTCGCCGTCTGCAAGAAACGTGGTTGGTGTGTGTGCGCTTAGTCCGTGGTTGTTGCGGAGGCGAAGCGTTTTCTAGCGGTCGTGCATGACCATGGCAGTGGCAACATGTCAGCTACCTTCGGTTCTTGATGTGTGAGTTTTTTTGATTGTGGCTGCTCATAGCAATACGATCTTTCTGCATTTGCCGATTCATCATCACCGCAGTTGTCTTATGTACAGGCATCTCCAACTATTCGCCGGCAGACTACGAGGAGCTAATGGAGTCTGCCTCGATCCCCCCGCCCTTCGATGCAGAATGAGATGTTGCTAGCAAGCTTCAGCAGATCCAAGTTGCAGGTGTGTCATCCGCAGAACATTGTCCCGTTCACTTTT